CTATTTGCTGAAAATAAACGCTACTTTGTGTGACAACTACTTCTGGTGGAGAGTCTAATTTTAACTCACCAGGAAGGAATCTACTTTGGTTTGGTAACATTGTTACACTGATTTCTGTCCCCTTTTCTTTATATTTCCTTCTCTCTTGTTTCTTTGGGTTTGTGTTACTTTTTCTAGGTTCTTAAATAGAATTCTTGTGTCACTTGCTGTATTAGATTGCTAGGGCTACTGTAAAAAAGTACCACAGACTAGGGGCTTAACCAACAGAAATGTATTGTCTCACAGTTCTCGAGGCTAGAAGTCCAAGATCAAAGTGTCAGCAGGGCTGGTTCCTTCTGCTGGCTATGAGGGAGAACCTGTTCTATGCATCTCTCCCAGTTTCTTGTGGTTTGCTGGCAATCTTTGGGGTTGCTTGGCTTGTAGAAGCATCACCCAGATTTCTGACTTCATGGTCACTTGGCGTCTCCATGTATGTTCACATCTTCTTCCTTCTTGGTGTGTCTATATCCAAATTTCTCCCTTTTTATAAAAATGGTAGTCATATTAGGGGCCCATTCTTCTCCTGTATTACCTCATCTGAACTAATTACATCTGCAGTGACCCTATTTCCAAATGATGTCACCTTCTGAAGTCACTTTCTTAGGATTTCAACATATGAATTTTGGGGGGACACAGTTCAACCCATAACACTTTGTGATGGTTAATTTTATGTGTAATCTTGGCCATGGTGCTCAGATATTTAGTCAAACATTATCCCGGATGTTTTCTTTGAAGGGATTATTTGGAAGAGATTAACATTTAAATCAGTAGACTGAGTAAAGCAGATTATCTTCCATAATGTGGGTGGGCCTCATCCAATTAGTCGAAGGCCTTAATAGAATAAAGACTGACCTCACCTGAGCAAGAAGGTAATTCTGCCAGCAAATGGCCTTTGGACTAAAACTTCCACTCTTCTCTGAGCCTCCAGCCTGCCAGTCTATCCCATAAGATTTTGGACTGGCCACGTCTCCACAATCACGTGAGCCAATTCCTTAAAATCAATCGATGTCCTCTCTCTCTCTCAGATATATATAGGAGATATATATATAATCTCCATCCTGTTGGTTCTGTTTCTCTGGAGAACCTGGCTAATACACACTTGCTTTTAACTTTTGTTTCTTGATAAGTATATTTAAAGATATAATTTTCCTCTATGCATTGCTTCAGCTGTGTCCCACTATTTAACATTTAATTCTTACTCTTAATTTCTCACTAATATGCTAGTTTGAAAACATATAATATTTTAAAACTATTTTTTGTTATTAATTTTTATTTTCATTGCCTTTTGGCTGAAGGATATGTTCTGTATCATGTTGGGCCCTTGTATTTATTAAGGCTTCCTTCATGGCCCAGTATATTTTTGTAAATTCTCCCAGTGTATTAAAAAAGAATTGTTCAAGCTTATTAATTTTATTGTCTTCATCTTCTATATATCCACTTATTTTTAAATCTGTTGGTTTCTGAGTTTTTAAAAATCTCCAACTATAATTATTTATTTCTCCCAGTACCTCTGTTAATTGTTGGTTCACATATTTTGCGGTTACATTGTCAGAGGCACATATTATGTTATGATGATTATGTCTTTATACATGATTGATTCTTTTATCAGTATTTAATGTTCATCATTGTTGTTTACATTTTTTCCTTGATTTCCATTTTATCAGTTATTAAAATCACTATCAGCTTTCTTTTCATTCAAATTTGTATGGAATTTCTAGCATTCTTTATTTTCAGTCTTTCAGTGTTTTTAATTTTTAAGTTGTCTGTAAATAATATATTGTCAGGTTTATTTTTTTTATTCTGAGAATTCTCTCTTTTAATTGGTAAGTTTAACTGAAGTACATTTATTATTATTATTTCTATCTTATTCCATAGTTTCCATTAACTGTCCTTTCTTCTTGTTTAATTTATAGTTTTACATTTAAGTCCATTTTGAGTTAATTTTTTTACAGACAGTTCCCAATTTATGATGGTTTGACTTATGATTTTTTCAATTTTATGATAGCTCAAAAGTGATATGCATTCAATAGAAACGTACTTCAAATTTTGACTTTTTATCTTTTCCCGGGCTAGCAATATGTGGTACAATCCTCTCTTGTGATGCTGGGCAGCACCAGCGAGCTGCAGCTCCCATCAGCCTGGCGATCACGAGGGTAAACAACTGATACACTCACAACCATTCCGTACCCAGACAACCATTCTTTCACTTTTAGTACAGTATTCAATAAATTACATGAGCTATTAACACTTTTTTATAAAATAGGCTTTATGTTAGATGATTTTGCCCAAATGGAGGCTAATGTAAGTGTTCTGAGCACGTTTAAGGTAGGCTAGACCAACCTATGCTGTTCGGTAGATTAGGTGTATTAAATGTTTTTCCATTTATGATATTTTCAACTTACGGTGGGTTTATCAGGACGTAACCTCATTGTAAGTGGAGGAAGATCTGTATAAGGTGTGAAACTTAGGTTGAGGTTCATTTTTCGGCCTATGGATGCCCCATTGTACCAGCACAGTGTGTTGAAAAGGCTCTCCTTCCTCCATTGAATTGCTTTTGCACTTTTGTCAAAAATCAGACGGCCATTGTGTGGGTCTATTTCTGGGTTCTCTACGTTGTTCCATTCACCTATGTGTCTCTCCCTCCACCAATACCGTGACACAGTCTTGATTACTGTAGATTATACGTCATGACACTGGGCAGAGTGATTCCTCCTAATTTATTCTTCTTTTTCTAAAGTGTTTTAGCTATTTAAGGTCCCTTGCCTTTCCATATATATTTTATAATAAGCTTGTCTATGTCTACAAAAAAAAAACATGCTGGAATTTTGATAGGAATTGTGTTAAACCTATAGATTAATTTTGGGAAAATTGACAGTTTTACTGTGTTGCGTCTTCCAATGTCTCTCCATGTATTTAGTTCTTCTTTAATTTCCTCCATCAGCATTTTGTAAATTGCACCACACAGATTACATGTTTTGTTAAATTTACATCTAAGTACTTCATTTTCTTTGGAGTGATTGGAAGTGGTGTTGTGTTTTTCATATTGGTTTCCACATGTTCATTGTTGACATATGGAAATGCAATTGAATTTTATGTGCTGCTTATGTATTTTGATTCTCTTTCTTTGCTTTCTGTTAGATCAACCTTTTTTGCATTGGATTAAAAGTTGTATTTTCGGGCCAGCCCCAATGGCCTAGTGGTTAAATTTCAGCGCACTCCGCTTGGGTGGCCCAGGTTTGGTTCCTGGACATGGAACTACACCACTTGTCTGTCAGTGCTGTGGCAGTGGCGCACAAAAAAAAAAAAAAGAGGAAGATTGGCGACACATGTTAGCTCAGGGCAAATCTTCCTCAGCAAAAAAAAGAAAAAAGTTGTATTTTTGTTCTTGTTTCATTTGCCCATAGGAGCATTTCCAGAGACTTTAAATGTTTGCTTGTTTTTATAATTTTCACTAGTTTTGCTGGGGAAAAGGTCAGTAGGTCTCCTCATGCTGTGATGCCAGAAGTTATCTCGCCCAAGCTAGTTAGCTATCTTGACAAAAACTCACCTGGGGAATCTTTAACAGGGGCAAAGACTCTCTCAGTCCCTCATGTCCCACTGCAAGTGTGGAGGACACTGGCCCAATATACTAATCAGCAAATGGTCCCAGCTCTGGGCCTGGCTTCCTGCCAGTTCCGAGCAGCCCCACCTGTCCCTTTGCTGGGTTTGTAAGGAGGTGGATCCTGCAGGCCCTGTCTCAGGCAGGCCTCTTTTCCTGTGGCAGCACGTGGATAACTCAGCAGGTCCTGGTGTCTCCTCTGGTCTGTAAGCAGCAGCCATGGTCCTGACGAGCCAGGTGTAATCACGAGTCAGGGCCTCCTTTACTATGGACGGACTTGTGCTATACTTTCTGAGATTGCTGGGCTTCATTCTCATTGGCCCTGAGAGTCTTAGAACTAGCACCTACCCCAGCAGAAAAGGCCCTTAAAGATCATTTCGTCCAGTGGTCTTCAACACCATCACACATTAAAATAACCTGGGGAGCTTTAAAAATATCAATGTCTGGGTCCCCTACCCTAAATCAATTAAACCATAATCACTGAGGGTGAAATTGGACATAGATGTTTTTGAAAGCTCCCCAGGAGATTCAACTGTACAGCCAGGATTGAGAACCAGTGCTCTCATCTAATCCCTTCATTTTGCTGATGCCCAGAGAAGTGACTTGCCCAAGGCCACATAGAGAGTTAGACTAAGTTTACAACTTTAGACTAAGTGTCCTGGCTTTGTCTCGCCACTATCCCTTTGTATCAGGTACATCCTAACTTATTTCTGTGTCTCATCCAGTAACACCTGTAAGGCTAGGTCAAGACAGCGCCTCTTGATTACTGCTATTCGTGATTATGGAACATTGTTCTTGAACAGCTTCCCCAACGACACTGTGAGCTCATTCTGGGCTGAACCAACCTTCTGGGTCCAACTAGACCTTCTAGGTCTCTGGCTACTTCCGCTACAGGGCTGATGATGGCTCCACACCAGCAGGTGCTCAAAACAGCTGCCTGGAGAACAGACAGGAGTACCTGGGTTGGGGAGTCAGACCGAGATTTGAATCGTGGCCCCACCCAGTAAACCTTCCTGAACCTGTCTCCTCCTCTGTACCACGAGCTCAAGTCTCACCTTCACAGTTGGGTTTACTGTCACGCCTCAGCTTCAGGACCCCTGACTTGCACAGGCTCCTTCCAAGGCCCTGGCAGGGGCTCTCACAGTTTGTAGTCACATTTTTTATTCTTTTCCATAAAGAGAGCCCCCACCAAATGTTATCAGCTTCAGGCCCCCCCAAACTTAGATCTGCTCCTCCCTACCCCACCGAGTTGCTGTGGGCATTCCATAAGATTCTGTCCATAAAGTGTGGGACATGCAGTAGATGTTCAATAAACTTCCCTCCAGAACAGCCCAGAAAAAGGATGGAAAGACAGAAGCTGGTGTGCTTGCTGCAGGCCCCATTTAATGTCCCACATATTGCCATTCAACAACCCAGCTCCCATTCAAGAGTGGCCTCTGGGGCCCAGACACAAGAGAGAGGGAGGCTACGGCACCTGGCTCTCAAGGGAGGCGTCCGCAGCTCTGATGTGGCCGTGGATCCAGTCGAGGTAGCGGCTGACTTTAGTGTAAACGCCGTAGTTGTGGAGGCGCCCACAGCCCTCACCCCAGCTCACCAGGCCCACCAGGAACCAGGTGCCACGGAAGAAGGCGACCATAGGCCCCCCACTATCACCCTCACAGGCGTCCCTCGGGTCCCCAAGGATGCCCGCGCACAGCATGTTCTCAGAGACGACGTTGTGCATGGTCCGGACGCACTCGCTGTGCGGGACCACAGGAACCTTGATGAAGTTGAGGACAAAGGTGCGGTTTCTCTTGATCTCACTGCGGTAGCCCCAGCCCGTCACCACTGTCTCCTGGCCGACCTGGGTGAGCTGGCGCTCCGAAAGGCCGCTGTCCGGGAGGCAGATGGGCACAATGGTCTGCGAGAGGGTGGCGGGCTGGGCCAGGCGGAGCAGTGCGATGTCGTTGTCGCTGGTGCTCTTGCTGTAGTTAGGGTGGACGAGGACCTCCTTGATGTCCAGGTCCACCTCCCACTTCTCCCGGCGCCGCAGGTCATACTCCCCTGCAGGGCAGAGGGGCTGTCAGAGTGGGCTTAGGGGAGGCCGACACAACTGTTGAGCTCATGAAGGCCTTGGGGGAGGGCAGGAAGTGGGTCCACAGCTGGAGTGGTCACTGCACGTCCCAGGCACCACCATGGGCCACATGTCTGCACCTCGGATCCCTATCAAGGGTAATGGCCCATGGGTGTCAATCCTAAGGGGGCAATATGCTGGTCTGAATTCAGGACTCACTCACAGAGGGAGCAGGGGGGCCTGGGAAGTAACAGCAGTGGACAGTCAGCAGGGAAGCCCGAGACTCCCTGGAAACCCGCGACACAGACCAGAGCCACAAAGGGATATGTGACTGCAGCTGGAGAGCCAAGACTCTCCTGCCAGCAGTGCCTGGCCTGAGCACAGGGCAGGGACACGCCATGATGGGGGGCAGGGCAGGAGCAGCAAGACCCAGAGAGGAGGACCAACGGGACACAGCTCTGCCAGGGAGGAGAGATCTGGACCACACACGAGAGACAAGGTCCTCTCAGGCAAGGCTGATGGTTCCTAGAAGTGGAGGGGAGGGGCACTGGGAATTCCAAGTGGAGCCCCATGGGAGGCCACAGGCCACTGGTTGTGCTGCAGGTAACTGTAGGGAGTGTGAATTTGGTCATTCTCAATACACCTTTTCCTTCTTTTTTGCATATAGAGTGGAGGGAGAGCCCCCTCCAGAAGTTGGCATAAAGTGGGGCTTGGCTTGGGGGCCCCGGACTACTGCAGGGAAGCAGCAGGCTGTTGTGGCAGATGCCAGGGCCCCTGCTGCACAGCTCCACCCCCGTCAGTCCGTGTGAAGCATGGCCCCGAGGCTGGGCCAGGTGGCTGCCTTGGGGGTCTCTGTGCCTGAGGGTGCTGGGGGTCCACACACACAGTCTGCTCCACGTGAGAGTGAAGAAGCAAGCGTGTGTGTAACCCCCTCACTTGCAGACACATGTGTGCAAGCACCCGGGCCCAGATTTGAAGAGGGCACCAGAGAATCCCCTACTTGCAAAATACCAGGTGTCACTGTGTCTAAAATTCCACCACAGGAGAGGTGGGGTGGGAGCACAGAGCCTCTTCCTCTAAACACCTTCCGTGGAGCTCAAGCAGCCCAGAGACCAGGGTCCCCAAACCCAGCCAGCCTGAACCGGTGGCCCCCTCCCGCCCGGCTGCAGCCCGCACCGAGCCTGACGAAGAGCTTCTTGGAGTCCTCCATGCAGTGGGCCGCGGTCAGCACCCAGGAGGTGTGGATGAGCACCGCCCCACAGGCCAGCTTCTTCTTGGAGTCCAGCAGGATCACCTGGAATGGGGGTGGGTCGTGACGTCACAGCACAACTCCAGGTCCGGGCCCCTGGGTCTCAGCACGGCACCTGGCACAGTTCTCAAACCTAAGGCACCAGCTGCAGGAGTAGATCTTTCCTGGGTTCCCTGGACATGGGCATGGGAAATGCGAGCATGGACTTATGGCCCTTTTCTGGCATTTTCTATTCCTGCATGTTTTATGGAGTTGGCCTGTTGCAAGGTGTCTCCCTGCCTTTGCCCACGCTGTTCTTATAGTCATCCTCAGCAGCACCCAGAGAGTCCTTCTCTCCCTTGGGGGTTCAGGCTGGGCCTCAAGTCCTCTGGGAAGCCTTTGAGGCCCCCAGGCTGCCTTGGGTATCCCCATCAGGGTTCCCTCAGACTCTGTCCTGCTGGCCATCCTGACTCTGGTCCCTCTGGATTGCCGTGTGTTCAGGGGCCTGACCATCCTGGAGTCTGTGAGCTCCCCAAGGCCTGCCAATCCCCAGCTTATTGATTTCTGTACCCCCTCTCCATGTGCCCGGCAGAGAGGGGGCCAAATAAGCGTTAGTTCCCACGGTGAGGCTGGAGAAGTACCCAGGGGTCGACCCTCCTTCTTCGCCCTCTCCCACTGAAACACTTCTCCCATCAGCCAAGCCTCTGCCTAAAACCCCACCAGCAAAGCATTGTCTTTCCAGCTCTTTTTTAAAACTATAACTCTCCTTCCTGCACATTCCCCCAAGCCCCGGGCCCTAGCCGACCCTGCCCTGGCTGCTCCTCTCCCATTGGGTTCCCTCCAACTTTCCCTGAACCCCCCTTAGCACTCACCACCCTCCCCCCCCCCCCCACCCCACCCCCCGCCACAGAGGCAGCATGTCCCCTCCCCGTTTGTGCATCCTGAGCAGGGACTCCCAGCAGGGACTCAGTGACTCCAGACCCAGCTGAAGAGGGTGGCTGCTGCCCCTCCTCTCACCTGCCAGGGGCTGTCTCCCCATCCGGTCAGCTGCCCGTTGACGAGCCTCGGATCTAACTGGTCTCCTTGGTCTGTGTCACGTTTCAGGTTCTTGCGCTTCTTCTCCATTCGCTTCCCTGGCCTCCCACAAGGGAACGTCACTGAAGGTAGGGGAAGCTGGTGAGCACCTGCCGGGCACTGCTCCGGAGACTGCCCTCCTCCACCCTCCCGTCTTTGTCCACCTCCTGCCTGCAGGCTAGTTTGCTGCATTGTGGAGTTAAAGGGATAAATGATGCTTAGTCACTCAATTATATTAACCTGCAAACCCCTTGGGTCAGTCAGTCAGTCAACAAGCAGTGCCACCTAATGGTAAAGGTCAGACACTACCTTGGTCATAGCATCACTACCTAGCTGTGTGCGCTTGCGCAGGTTGTTAAACTTCACGGAGCTTAGTATACCCCAGGGCCGTTGGGAGTAATCATGAGATACATAAGTAAGGTCTCATGCTGGGATGCTGCCAAGCTCCTAACAGAGGTAAGAAATTATGGGGAGGAGGAGGTGGGCATTCCTGGAGAGCCTCAAAGTAGCTCTGAGCGCAGCTGTGAGGTCCTCTGGGCAGAGGAGAGAGCGCATAACAGAGAACTGAGGGCTGGGAGGTCTGCCAGAGGCTGCTCGTGAGGGGCCCTTCACGCTAGGCTGAGAGATGGAGACCTGTTGTAGGAGCAGCAGGAAACCACCAGCCAGGGAACTGCATCACGGCAGAGAAGGGCCACGCGACAACAGCAACAAAATTCCAGAAGCTGGACAGCAGGTGGACTGAGAAAGCAAAAACCTCAGCCAGTGACAGGGGATGCCAGAAGCAGAGCTCTGACCACAGACCCCCAGGAAGCCAGCGCTTCTGCAGGACGCAGCGCAGAGGGGACCACAGACAGGAATGGTGACAGTTTGTAGAAGAAGCTGCTACAGCCCTAGACCTCTGTCCCGACCCTCAGCAGTAGCTTGACTGCCCTCTCTCACCCCCGCAGCAGACCATAGGTGTATTCTTTGCAGAGGGTGAACCAGAGACTGTCACCTGGGGACTCCAGTCACTGCCACAGGAAAGAGTGGCATGCAAGGCTGACCAGAGGGAGTCACGCAGACCTGCAGACGCCAGCTCCCCTTCCCCACCCTGTTCCAAGGGGCTGGAAGCCAGGCCAGAACCACCCAAGCCAGAGCCTGGAGGATTCCTCTCAGAACTTGGCCTGAAGTACAGACCTAAGGGGCTGGGCAGCAAGGGGTCTGCCAGTGACCTGGGCCTTCAGGGCCTCACAGGAAAGCCCACAGGCCGACAGGTGCACCAGGCATTGCTTTGCAACTTCCTGAGAATCTCTACTTATTTCAAAATAAAAAATTAGAAATTTTTTTCAGTAAAAGGACTAGAATATAAGCTGTGGGAGTTTCCTGAAAGAGGAGCATGAAGTCAGAGATGGAAGGTAGAAGAGAGAATAAAACTAGCAGATCCGCCCAGAGGAAAGAGACCGGAAAAACAGGAGGTCCAGAAAGAAACGAGGGAAAGCAGAGGGGAGATCATCAAAGAAACAACAGAAGAAATGTTCCTAGAGGCGGAAAATCCAAATTTCCCCTTAAAAGGGTCCACCAAGGGCACTGTGCAACCAAGAAAGAGGGCCCACACCAGGGAACACCTTGCTGAAATTCATTATAACAGTTGTAAAACTCAGACTGCTTTGTACATATATAAATTTGATAAAAATTAAAAGGTATAAAAAGGAAAATTAAAAAAGAAGGCTGAATCATGGGTCCCGTCTCTTCTCAAGGAAGCCAGAGGTGAAGGGGGAACGGGATGCTGGGCTGGACCCGCTGTCTTAAGGAAATAAAGCCCCCCCGGATAGAGGGAGGACGATGCTGGACACCTGGCCTCCTGCATCCGCTCAGAGTTTGGGAGATGAGCTACCTATGGGCTTAAGCTCCAGGAGTTGTTCCCAAGGTGAGCAGGGGGACCTGGAGGAAGTCGGGCAAGCCAGGAAAAGAGCAGGCAAGAAACCGGCCGAGGGCAGCCTCTCTCCTCTTGGGCTGACTGCACTGCAGGAGCATGTGGGGGGCGGGCCCGTCTCCCTTGACTGGGACTCCCCGGAGTCTCCCTGTGCCCCGCCCCGCTCGGGGGCTCACCTTCGGGCTCACACACTCGGTGGTCGTCTCCCAGCCGGTAGCCGGGCGCGCAGCCGCAGCGGCGCCTGCCCTCCTCCTCCAGGCAGTAGTGCGCACAGCCGCCGTTGTCCACGGAGCAGTTGGAGAAGCGCGCCTCTGCGCGGACAGGAGGGGCGCGGGAGGGTACGGGGCACGGTGGCACGGCGCGCCCGGCACCCCCCGCCCCCCGCCGCCCGGCCGTCCCCCGCCCGCCAGGCCGGCCGTCTCACCGTGCACGCAGAAGCGGCCCTCCCAGCCCCGGGCGCAGTCGCAGCGGAAGCCGCCGATGCCGTCGATGCAGGTGCCCTGCCCGCAGCACGGGCTGTCGCACGGGTGCTCTGGGGGCGGGGCCGCGCACTGGTCCCCGTCTGCGACATGGAGTGGGGGTGGGGCGTCACTGGTGCCGCCAGCCTCTTCCCTGTCTCCACAGCGGCCCAGAGACCCCGAGGGGGCGCGGGCGCCGCAGCCAGGGGCCTAGAGAGCACTCACCGTGGTGCTTGGACCAGAAGGCCAGCTGTGGAGAGAAGGGGTAGCGTCAGGGGTCGTCCGCCCATGTGCGTATATGGGGAGCCTCCCGGGTCTGGCCCAGGTGGGGCAGGGGAGCCTCTTAGGGGGCAGGGAAAGGAAGGGCTTCCAGACAAAGAGGAATCCACCCTTGCTTGTCACCAGCCACTGGTGCAGCTGCACCCTGAGTAAGGCCACGCTCCTCCTTGCCCACCCCCGGCTCCCTGGCCATCTCCACCCCACATCCTGGGCACAACCTCCCTCCCCTATGCAGCTGGAAGCCTGCTCTCTGGACTGTGCCTGCTACCTCAGCAGCCTCTGCAGTGGAAGGACTCAAATCCCCCACCAGGCTGCTCTGCCACCAGCCCCCATCGCTCCTCTGGGCTTTTCCCATCTCTCAGGCATCTAGTCTCCCTAAGCCAGTGTTCTCAAACTTGAGTGAGCACCAGGATCTCGCTGGTGAGACCCAAATTGTCAGTTCAGAAGATCTTGGGCAGCAGAGTCTGCTTTCCTAACCAGGTCCCTGGTGGTGCTTCTGCTGCTGGTCGGGGACCACCCCACCCTGAGATCAACTGCTTGATGCATGTGCCATCAAGTCACCCCATGGCAGTGGCCCTGCCCCGCTGACCAGGGAGACCTTGGGGTAAGGTGGGGGAGCCATGAGAGGGACGTGATGTGTTCAGATTGCTCCTGCAGAAAGTCTTTTTGGCATCTGCTGAAGAGGCCATTTGGGAACAGAGGCAGTGGGGATCTGGTCAGGGAGGAGGCGGCTGAGGGCAGGAGAGGAAGTAGACTAGAGTTCCCCCTTCAGACTTGAAAGCCCTGAAGGGGAAGGGGGTCCCTATACTCCGCTTGGAAGAGGACCCCAGGGGGTGGCACAACTCCCAGGTCCTAGCAGCTGAAGTGAGCCCTTGGGGATGGAGGGGGCCTGAGCCTCATATGAGGAAGCCACCTCCCTGACCAAGTGCCTCCTACCACCTCAGGGCCACCACCACAGGGCCCTGGGGTCCACAGAGGACACAGACCGTTTCCTCAGATCCCGTCCCCTGAGAATGTGAACTGAGGCACAGAGTGAGTGTTTGTGAACAGACCTCAGGGCGTCTTGGGTCCCATGCACCCTGATCAGCAAGTGCATGTGTGGAGGCAGAGATGGTGGCCTTTTGCTCACAGAGAGAGAGAACGGGGAGGCAGTGGTGGCCACTTGTGGGTGGAGGGTGGACTGAACCACCTACAGAGGAGTTGGGTGGGAATCTCAGCCTAAGGGTCCCCCAAACTCTCTTTTACTGGAGCTAATTGCAGAGTTCTGTTTCTTGCAGGCACCTGTGCCCTGACCAAGACCGTAGGGCCAACGTCCTAGTCATTCCACTCACCAGCCCCGAGAAGCTGGGAGGAGAAGGGGCTGGTACCCATTGCTTCCAGGGACTCCAAAGAGGGCCTCAGTGGTCGGGCCCCAGCCTGCTCCTCCAGCTCCCACTGGCTATCAGCCCACCCCGCGCCTTCTCCTCTGAACCCAATCGGGTGGCCTTACTGTGTCGTCCACGTCTTGGAAAATCTCCCGGGCCTCCTCAAAGTCACAGATCTCTTCCCTGCACTCCCGCTCCAGGCTGCCAGCCCGCAGCTCCTCCAGGAAGGAGTTGGCGCGTTTGCGGATCCGCAGCACCTGGTGGGCCTGCTCACTGCTGGAGAACACTGAGTCTGGGGGGGTGGGGGGGAGAGCACTTTGGTGGAGGGGCCTGAGGTGGGGGGCCCATCTGGGGACAGCCTGGGGACGTTTCTGTCTTGGGCCCCTCAGGACTTATAACTCCAGGTAACGGTGCTCTCCCCTGCTCCTCTGCTCTCTTCCTCCACACGAAGCAGATGGGCAACCATTGGAGGACAGGGGACGTGACCATTGAGACCTCCCTTTGAACCCCAGCCTGACCTCCACGTGACCTTGAGCCAGTGTCGTTACTTCTCTAAACTTCAGTTTATTCATCAAAAAAGTGAGGATGAAATAATCATGTAAAACACTTAGTACAGTGCCTGGTCCAGAAGTGAGTGTGCTGTTGTTGAGACTACAAAGTGAAATCAGCCTCAGTGTCCTCCAAATATACCTGTGCAGCCCCAACTTGACACTGTCCCTCCATCCACCCTCCCCTCCCCTCCCCTCACGGAGCATTGCCCATGCCCCTCCCCTTGGGCAGGCACACCTGGAGAGCAGCAGACCTGTCACCCAGTGAGCATCACCAGATGTCTCCTGGGCTCCGAGAATTATCTGTTTTGGGTACAGGGGGACAGCTAGGATGGAGGGATCAAGCCAGGGGGTGAGCAAGAGAGGCTCAAGGGGGGATGCAAAGGCCAGGAAAGGAAGGTACACCTGAGCTGAGTCTGGACAGATGAACCAAGTGGCCAAGTGGTGGAAGGTGGGGGAGGAAGGGCCCCCCAGGCGGACAAGCAGCTTGAGATGAGGCACAAATGTAAGAAACAGCCTGGTGTGGCTCAGGGGAAGGTGGGGACTGCAGAACAAACTGGACAGCTCACTCCTCCTGCAGGCCTCCCCGAGCATCCTGGCCTCCTCAGGTTGGCTGTGGGGACCAGGGCTGGGTTGGGGCAGTGGCACCACACATGTGCTTTTTAGGAGAAGAGGCCGCCCTGGGGCAGTGTGGGTGGTGGCCTGGGCCTGGGGCTCTCAGAGTTGAGGGAGCGAGTGGGTGAAGTGGAAGGCCCAGGGGACTCTGTGCCCCACTCCCCAGGGAGGAGGAAGGAGCTTCAGGACAGACCGGCCCTGCCATCACCACAGTACTTTGCCCGGAGGCCTGCTGCTGTGTTCTAACAGCTGACCTGACTGGGACTCATCAGTTAATTCATCCCTGTTCCACCCGCCTCTTGTCTCACCCGGAGGCTCAGAGGAGATGGTGGAAGGTGTGCAGGGCTGGGCAGGTGCCAGAGCATGCTGCGTGAAGGTCCCGAGGGTCCTGGGGAGGGTCCTGGGGGAGGAGAGTGGCCTTACCAGGAGGTGCTGGTGTGCTGGAAATTCCCCAGATGGTCACGGACAGTAAGAGGCTTGCGAGCTGCCACATTCCGGAGTTGCTGATACCTGTCTGAGGAGGACGTCTGAGCTTCCGGCAGCCCCACCAGTCCCTGCTCTGCCTTCCGTCCCCAAGGTGGGAGCTGAATGAAAGGGCCTCCAGCGTGTGCTGATTGCCAGGGCAAGAGTGGGGCCGGGGTCCCTGTTCCCTAGACAGACAGCCACCTGGTGCCTCAGTCTCTTTCTCTATACAGGGCTAAGTCACACCACCCGAGTCTGAAGGGTGAAGAGAGAGAGGGGAAAGGCCACAGAGTCCTGGTGCAGACCAAAGGGGACGGAGCACAGAAGGGCCAGGGCAGGCGTCCTCCCTTGCCCCATTTTCCGGTGAGGGTTGGGTAATGGCCAGGCTAAGAGTAATGCTAACATTTATCAGACACTCGTGGTGTCTTTCCAGCGATTTGTATGTGGTTTAGAGGGCAGGCCACCAAGTCAGACCACCGGTGCAAATCCCAGCTCCAGGACAGCAATGTTGGGCAAGAGGCCTAACTGCTTCGGGCCTCAGTTTCCTCATTTGTAAAATGGATAGAAAAACTGTAGTTCTGCCTTATAGGGTTATTGTGGGAATTAAATGAATTATCCACATAAAGCTCTTAAAATACGATTAGCACATAGCAAACCCTCAGTAAACATTAGCTATTATTGTCTCAGTGAAGGCTCACAGCTGCCCAAGAGGCAGGTAATGTTGTCACCTCACTTCATAGCAGGGGAAATTGAGGCTCAGAGGAGTGAAGTAGCTTATTAAAAACCCATAACCAGGAGCTAGCAGAGCTAGGACTCAAGCCCAGGCCTGTATGGCTCGGGGCCTGGAAACTTAACCTGCCCCAAACCACGGGGTGCAGGCATGGCTGCAGAGGTGGCCCTGCCGGCCGGGTGGAAGCTGAGGGGCCCCCATGGCCTCCAAGAGCAGGCCGGGCGGGTAGGCCCGCTCCCGTCGGCACCTCCTGCTGACCTCACTTTCCACCTTCGCTGACGCCCTCTGAGGCTGGTTCTGACATTTGTTTAAATCAGACGCCCCAGGTGTGGAGGTGGGGGTGGGGTGAGGAGAATGGAGGGCCCCGGGCTCCAAGCTGCCTCTGGTGATGCCTGGGCCCTGGAGGCCCTTGCCAGCTTCCACTTGCCTCGCAGTCTGGAAAGAAGGAGGCGTGTGATGAGGGGGTCCCTTGTGACTGTGGCACCCAGGCCTGAGGAATGCCAACCAGTGCCTTGGCCTGGCGGGAGGCAGAGCCTTGATGTCCCTTTACCCCAAGCTCCAGCCAACCTCTCGAACCCTGGCTCAAGGATTCAACCTTCACCCCCGCTCAGTTCTCCTCCAGCCCCCTCACAGACCTGCCTCGAAGGGGACTTACTGGGGTGGGCCACGGAGAAACTGCAAGGTCGCCCTCCTGCCGCCATGACAGCCTGGAACTTGAGTTAATCCATAACCGCAAATATTTGCTTGGCCCTCAGAGCTGAGGCCTCCCTCTCCACAGATAAACAAACAAGTTCCCAGCTCAGGATGGCTCAGTTTGCCCAGAGCCCCCCTCCGCCCACCAGTGGTGCCATCCAGGAGGGAGGGAGGTGAGGGACGGGCGCTGTCAAGACTGTCTACAGATGTGGTCTCATTTTAGCCTCATAGTGGCTGGCTGAAGGAGGGACATTGTCCCCATTTTGCAGATGGGGACATTTTTACCCGGAGATAATGCAGTTTGCCCCAGATCAGCACAACTGGTAATGATTCCATATTTCACCAAACTCAGGATGCCATTAATTATAAGATGCACCTATTTTATGTGCCAGGATGAAAGGAAAGAAACGTGGTCAATCACACAATGACACGCCATCCCGATTTCTGATTTTCATGATGTAAAACATGAAAAGATATGCCTCTCGGGGTCCCTACCATATGGGTGCGGGCCCTCAGCTAGACTTGCAGCTCCCAGCCCTCCCTCCCCCCGCAGTTCCTGTCACCGCTATTAGCAGATGAGGACATTCAGAAATCATTTACTTGCCCAAATTCACCGAGCTGGTAAGTGGCAGGCCTGGACTAGAACTCAGGTCTTCCTGGCACCTTTTAGCCACCTTTGTGAACAAGTGAGAAAAACAAACAGGATTCTGGGAAGGCTGCAGTCAGCTCATGGCTGGGATGCCAGAAAGGAGAAGTGCGGAAGTAAAGGGTCGCCCTGGAGCCTTTGCCCAGGTCCTGTCCTGCAGTCCGTCGGCATTTATTAGGCATCTTCCTCCCGCACTCACTGTACCGGAGACACCCCCACTTCTTCCATACCCAACCCCCTCCTTGGAGGTCTGGACCACACTCCTCAAAGTCCCAGCCCCTGTACAGGTCACATGACCCTGCCCCGCTGGCCTCTGGTGACTGCACCGGGAAGTCACCTGACCCAGGGGTCAATCAGGTTCTCTCCCCCAGTCTGCAGGAGCAAAGCCTCAGAGCCCTCATTCCACTGTGAGCACTAGACTCAGGAGATTTTGAAGCCAGTAGAGGAAGCTGATGAGGAGGAAGATGCAGACATGCAGAGAGAAGCTGAGACATGAGACCATGGAGACCTGGAGAGTCCCAGGGAACAGCAGGGATGGGCCCCTACTTCTTGGTGATTGGGGCACATCCTGGCTTTGGGTTCGTGAGGGTCCCCCTGCCCTCCTAGGAAACCCCTTCTTTCCTTAATTTCCTTAAATTGACTGAAGCAGCTTGTGTTCCTTGCAACCCAACCCCTCCTACTGAGGAACAGCACATACCTGAGCTTCGGACATACAAGGCCCTGTGCGGCCCACACAGCCCATTCAGCAGGCAACGAGGAACACGGTGCAAGTCTAACAAGGCAGGCCCACAGGGCAGAGGGCAGGTGCAGGTACAGATGGTGATGTTTATGGAATTCAGAGAAGGGAAATCAGCACAAGCTGGGGTGGCCTGGGAAGGCTGCCTGGAGGAGGTGGAGCTTCAGCTGGACTCCTGAGGGCAGGCAGGACCCACGTAATAGAGGCAGGGCCCTCAGGGAGGGAGGGAGCAGGAGGCACAGGAGACACGCAGTGGGGGAGGTGTTGGAGGTGGGGAGGAGTGGGGGGAGGAGTGGAGGGAGGGTGGGAGGTAATAGAATTCGGAATGGAGCCTATGGGAAGTGGGGAGCCAGTGGCTGTTTGTGAGGGTCTGTGGCAGCCGCCTAGAGAAGGGGAGGCGTGGTCCTGACAACTCAGACAGGAAGCACGGAGACCATGTGCACAACCACACAGCTGAGGAACTTGTAAAAATGCCTCCTGTGCCCATGGGCTTGCCTCAGGGGTCCTCCCCCGTAAGTCTGCAGAGTCATCGCTCCGGGCTCTCCCCACCTCCACCTTGCCTACCAAGTGCAGGGCGTTGTGGGTGTTCCCTGGGACTCCTTCCCTCCTTCCCTTCCCCACCGAACTCCTCACCTTCCACTTGCTCCCCAGCCTAGCACAGCTGATCAAGTGAAGTTTATGTGGTGTCCACACGCTGATCCTGAACCTGAATAAGGGGCTTTGCCTGAGGCACCCACATCCAAACCAGCCCAGATGCCCAGACCACTGGTACCCAGAAGAGCCAGGGCAGCTGCAGTGGGAGAAGTGACCAGCGCTGCCAAGGCCTCCAAGGCAGCCCAGACCAGGTCGGCAGGGCCCCTCTTTCAGAGCTCTTCCTGCCTGTCAGCCTGCTGGGGCGCTGCAGTGAGGGGTGCCTGCATCATGGCCTCCTCATTGGCTGGAGGGCGGGAGACCCGGGTCACCTCCCTGAAGCAGGGAAGGTCCCCACTACCAGCTATTCCCGCGTTCTGCTGGCTCTGAAAGGCTGGCAGCACCTGGAGAGTGCCGCCAGGAATCCACGCGTCTCTGCTCACCTGCCGCAGGTTTCCAGCAGAGGGCGCTGCTCTGTCCGCGGAAGAGTCCAGGCGCCGTTCTAAAGGGCGCCTCACCCCTTGGTGGACGCTGCTGATTGGCCTCCTCTGCTGGGGTTTCCCTTTCCATCTCTGTCACCCCACGCAGGCACGAATTCAGTCTGGCCGACTCCAGAGGCCAGAGTAGGACGTGGGCATCGCAGCCAGCTGTGATTTAGAGAGAGGAAGGGCATTTGTGAGCAGGAAACTTGCTGCACTTGTGAGGACGCAGGCAAAGGAATAAGAACCAAGGGCGTGGGGGGAAAAACAGACAGCCAAAGCTATCAGATGGCATCGAGCGGTGGGGTGTTCAGAACCCTCGCCTTGGTCTGGCTCACGTGAGTTTACACCTCAACTCGGCCCTTCCTGGCAGGGTTATTTGACTTCCCGGGGCCTCGTGTCCACATCTGAAAAGCGGGGCCAAGAATCGCACTCTCCTCAGGTGGTGGGTATGAGGATTAAATGAAATAGTTTCTACAAGCTGGGCAGGTCCTGAGACTTCACAGATCAGTCGACAACGATTTCCTCTCTTGGCTCCCCACATATCCTGGAGAGGTGAGGACCACGCGAAGCTCTTCGACGATCAAACTCCGGGGGGAAATGGGTGTCCCCTTTCATGACTGCCCGTGAAGGGCGGGAGGAGGTCGACCAGGGAGGGGCAGAGAGGAAGGGACAGCTGCCACCTTGGCGCAGCTTAGCAGCCACCGGCTCTGAGCAGCCCGAGTCATCCCTCCTCCCCGGCTCTGGGGTGTGTTGTCACCCGGCGTTGGCCCCGGCGCTGGTAATCGTGCCAGGACCCCACCCGAGCTGCTTGGGTTGTGGCTGGGGCTGAGGGCTAACAGGACTGCCATTCTGGTAGCCCACGCCCGCTCCCCTGTGCTGTCCATTCACCCTGGCATGGAAGCCACGCTGCTCACGGCTCACCCGGGTGGGGAGGGGAGGAGAGAAACCAGAGAGGCCCTGGGCAGCTCCCCCTTAAGAAGACATTGTCCATGTCAACAGCACAATGACACTGATTCATTTTTTAAAAAATCAGGTTTGAGGTATAATTTACATGCAAAAATTCGTTCTTTTTAAATGTACAGTTCTGTTTGTTTTGACAAATATGTGTAACCACCACCACAGTCATGATATGGGACATTTCAATCACACTCAAAAGAGCCTCTGTGCCCCACTCCCAGGCCCTGGCAACCACTGAGCTGATTTCGGTTGCTTTTTCTAGAATGGCATATAAATGGAATAGCCTTTTAAGACTGGCTTCTTTCACTTAACACAAAGCTTTTGAGTTCCTTCGCGATGATGTATCAGTAGTTTCTTTCCTTGCATTGCTGAGTCGTTTCCATGATATGGATGCACCACAACTTGTTATCTAGTCACCAGTTCTTGGCTATTATTAAATAAAGATGCTAGAACAGTGGTGTACAGATCTTTGCGTGGCCTTATGTTTTCATTTCTCTTGGGCAAATATCTAGGAATGGGATTGCTAAGTCACGTGGGAAGTACATATATACTTCTGTTAAAAAGAAAAAAAAGCCAAACTGTTATCAAAAGTGGCTGTACCATTTTGTGTTCCTACCAGCAACAAATGAGTGTTCCAATTACTCTGCATTCTCCCCAGCACTTGGTGTGGTCAGTTTTTTGTTTTTTTTTTTTTAATTTTTAACTATCCTAATAGGTATGTTGCGCATCTCATTGCAGCTTTAATTTTCATTTCCCTAATCCCTAATGAGGTTAAGCATCTTTTCACGTGCTTATTTGCCATTCATATATCTTCTTTGGTGATGTATCTGTTTAAATCTTTGGCCTATATTTTTATTGAGTTTTGAGAATTTTTACATATTCTGGCAACAAGTCCTTGGTCATATAAGTATTTTGCAAAACTTTTCTTCCAGCCTATGGTTTGTCTTAATTACTTAACAGTGTCTTTTGATGAGCAAATGTTTTTAATTTTGATGAAGTCCAATTATCAATATTTTTTTATGGTTCATGTTTTTGTGTTCTACCTAAGAAATTTTTGCCTTACCCAAGGTCACAAAGGTTTTCTCTTATGTTTTCTTCTAGAAGCTTTATGGTTTTAGCTTTTACATTTAGATCTCCAACATTTTAAATTTATTAATTTTTACATACCACATGAAGCAGCGGTTGATTCATTTTTTTCTATATGGATGGTGGTTCCAGCGCCACTTGTTGCAAACACTAACCTTTCCCCCATTGAATTGCCTTGGTACTTTGTCAAAAATCAATTGACCGTATATGCATGTGTCTACTTCTGCACTCTATTCTGTTCTATTGACCTACATAGAGGTCATCTTTATGCCTACATCATCTGTCTTAATTGCTTAATTGCTACTATAAGACTCCAGTAAGTCATGAAATCAGGTAGTGTAAGCCCTCCAGCTTTGTTCTTTTTCAAAATTGTTTTGGCTATTCTAGGTCCTTTGCATTTCTATACACATTTTAGAATCAGCTTATCAATTTCTACAAAAAAATGCTTGCTGAGATCTTTTACTGGGATTGAGTTGACTCTATAGAACAATCTGGGGAGAAGAGACATTAATATTGAGTCTTCCAGGGGCCGGCCCCATGACTTAGTGGTTAAGTGCCCATGCTCTGCAACTGGCGGCCCGGGTGCGGATCCCGGGTGCGCACCAACGCACCGCTTCTCCGGCCATGCTGAGGCAGCATCCCACATACAGCAACTAGAAGGATGTGCAACTATGACATACAACTACCTACTGGGGCTTTGGAGAGAAAAAGGGGAAAAAAAGGAGGAGGATTGGCAATAGATGTTAGCTGAGGGCCGGTCTTCCTCAGCAAAAAGAGGAGGATTGGCATGGATGTTAGCTCAGGGCTGATCTTCCTCACCAAAAAAAAAAAAAATTGAGTCTTCCAGTCTGTTAGTGTGATATTTCTCTCCACTTATTTAAGTCTTTGTTCGTTTCTCTCACTAATGTTTGGTAGTTTTCAGTGTACAGGTCTTGAACCTATTTTGTTAAATTGATCACTACTTATTTCATGTTTTTAAAATGCTACTGTAAATGACAGTTTAAAGATTTCACTTTACCATTGTTGCTAGTATATAGAAATACCATTGATTTTTTTATATTAAGACTTTTTTCAGTTTTATTGAGATACAATTGACATATAACATTGTATTAGTTTAAGGTGCATAACATAATTTGATATACATATATATTGATATATGTGTATATTGATTTGATATGTGTATATACTGCAAAATGATTATCACAATGTTTCGTTGATATCCATCACCTCACATAGTTACAATTTTTTTTTCTTGTGATGAGAACTTTTAAGATCTACTCTCTTCACAACTTTCATTTATATAATACAATATTGTTAACTATAATTATCATGCTGTACATTACATCCCCAGGACTTATTTATCTTATAACTGGAAGTTTGTACCTGTTGACCACGTTCACCCATTGTCCCTACTCCCCATCCCCTACCTCTGGCAACCACCAATCTGCTCTCTTAATCTATGAATTCAGTTTTTTTAGATTTGACATATATGTGAGATCATGCAGTATTTATCTTGAGACTTATTATTTCATGATTCTACAAGCATGTGCTAGGAAGATCGACAATCCTAGCTTGTCTGGGACTGACCTGATTTTAGCACTAAAAGTCCTACGTCTGGTAAAATCTTCCGAGATGAGAAAACTCCCAGTTTTCAGTGATGGATACAGAAGGTTAGGGGAAATGTACAAAACACAAATGTGACCCCCAAAATAGGGGCTGAAAGCAATACTGGTTTTAGTGCCAAATGGACACAGCACTGTCCCTAGTCTCTGTTGCTGAGGACGACGACCATGACTTACAGTTCACGATACAGTAATGGGTCATCTATTATTACACCACTCCTATGACGCAACTTAAGTGCACTCTCATCTGGAGCAGGAACATTCGCTTTGCCTGTGGATTAACTGTTGTGTTTTGTGTTGAGACAGTGCTGGTTTAATTTTTAACACGGTGAATATTGTGACCATGTTTTTTAAGAGTTCAGATAACGAAAATGAGAATGACTACAATACCAATGCCAGTATGAACCAGACATCGTGGTCATTTAGACTAAACGACTGTGTTACTTTAATGACAGCTGGAAAAACACGTACACTGGGTCAGGAAGGTAGATAATCAAAAAGAGCGTACTGCACGATATGCAGAAAAGAATCTGGGATTGGGCCTGGTGGAGAAGGGAATGTGAAAGCACATGTAGAAACTGATTCCCACAAATCCCCAATGAGACAGGCAAGTACTTCTAAATTAATCAGAAAGGGTTTTTTGGTCTCCCCAAAAGACACCATTTCTCAGTTGAACATAGTGGCTGCTGAATGGGCTTGGGCATACCACACGAATGAACACATTGCTCCTTTGATTATTCAATGAAACGGAGTGAAGTTATGTTTCCTCGTGCAGAGACTGTACTTGAAATAACCTGGAGGGGAACAAAAGGCGACATTTTGATCACAGATGTGTTGGCCCTTTACAGTGTGGAGCTGATTCTGTCAGATCCTGCCAACAATCACACTTTCCACAGTATACCAAGTGCTGAGCCAACTCATGGCAATACAACGATGTTGGCCTACCACCTGAGTATTTTGATTTGAAAAATGGAGTTTCAAATTATCTTTTTGATTTCTCTGAAGATTTTAATGAAACTTCAGAAAAAATAAAACAAAGAATGTTGGTGATATCTTATCTGAATACAAAGGAGACTTGGCTCATCTGACCACACAGTTGGCAGACGGTGCAAGTGTAAATTTTTGCAAATTCTGTTCCGTCTATGAACTCTTACCAAAGAAAATGAAAAGATCTTGCCTGCTAATGTCCTGCACACCTTGTGCACAACGTTGGCTCACAGAGTGTGGTTCGCTTCCTGTGATATTGAGGCTTCCATTGTGAAAGGTTTGGTTACCTCTCAGTTTCCTTCAAATATGCAAAAGCACTTAATGAGACATTTGACCTTCTGGAAATGAAAGGAGAGGGTCTCCTTTAGACATATGCCTACAAGATGACTGCCATTGCTGCCACTTGTAGAAGAGATGTTAAAAAGTTAGCCTGCCATAAAATCATATTTTCCAAGTGTGGGATGAGAAGAATGTCCCTCTCTGCTTTGGAAATCTATTGAGAAGGAGAGTGGAGAAAGGATTGCAATCAAACAGAAATTTATAAACTGTTCCTCCAAAACTGTTTGATGATCTTGGAAGAGGCCATAAAGATCCTAAAAAATGATGAACTGACTGCACCTGAGTAGTTCAGTGTTACGTGTAGTAGTGACAAAAACTCATATAATGAAAAATGTCTCCATTTTTGGGAAATAAAATATCACCAGAAAAGGACAACCAGTTTAAACAAGATTTTCTCATTTCTTTACTAAAACTGGAAGTTATATGTAATCCAACTTTAATTTCACAAGTTTAAATATCTCTGTGCGTTAAAACAATTTTCTCTGAGAGAGACAGGTTTAACTTAGGACATCCACTGTGCTTTGACATGTTTTAAAAGGATGGACATTTTAGACATGGATATCCTACATGATAAATTTAGAGATGCAAAGGAGTTGTCTGACAAACAGCTGGCCTACCAAAACCAGACTGTAGATGCAAAGTAAATGGACATTTTTGTCGAGCTGGAAACTAATCCCTACTGGTCTAAAAGCCTGCTGTTGTTAGTAAGATCCTAAATAGTCCACGCTCACATGATTCTGTTGAGAGGGTTGTCAGCTTGATGCCATCACACCAGACTGATGCAGGAATCCGTGTAACGTGGGCTTAATAAGAGCAGGGCTGCAAGTCAAAGATGGTTACGTTAGACCATATTCAGTTTCATCACTACATTAAAAGTGTCTCCTTGGGGCCGGCCTGGTGGCTTAGCGGGTAAGTGCGGGCGCTCCGCTACTGGCGGCCCGGGTTGGGATCCTGGTGCGCACCGACGCACCGCTTCTCTGGCCATGCTGAGGCGGCATCCCACATACAGCAACTAGAAGGATGTGCAACTATGACATATAACTGTCTACTGGGGCTTTGGGGAAACAAAGGAGGAGGATTGGCAATAGATGTTAGCTCAGGGCTGATCTTCCTCACCAAAAAAAAAAAAAAAGTCTCCTAAAGCTGCAGCCAAGGAAACAAAGAGGAAAAATATCCTCTGTATCATAGGACAGAAATGTCGTCGTTGTTTTTCATTAAATGTTGGTAATATGTTTAATTAGTCCTATTGTATTTACATTCTCCTTTTAAAAAGTCTTACATGTATGTATCTTCTTTAAAAACAGCTTTCAGTGCCGGCCTGGTGGCATAGCAGTTAAGTTCACATCTTCCACTTCGGTGGCTCGGGATTCACCAGTTCACATCCTGGGCTGGGACCTACTCACAGCTCATCAAGCCATGCTGAGGCGTCCCACACAGAAGAGCTACAACTCTACAACTATGATATACAACTATTTACGGGAGCTTTGGGGAGAAAAAAAGAAAAAGAGGAAGATTGGCAACAGATATTAGCGCAGGGCTAATCTTCCTCAAAAAAAAAAAAACCCAAAAAACTAGGCGCTTTAGAAAAAAAAAAAAAAAAAGCTTTATTTTTGTAGAGCAGTTTCAGGTTCACAGCAAAATTGAGGGGAAGGTACAGAGATTTCCCACATACTCCCTGCCCCTACACATGCATGGTCTCTCCCATCATCAACATCTCCCACCAGAGTGGTACATTTGTTACATCTGATGAACTAGATTGATACAGCATAATCACCAAAGTCCATAGTTTACATTATGGTTTCACTCTAGATGTTGTGCATCCTGTGGGTTTGGACAACTGTATAATGACATGTATCCATCATTATGGTACCATACAGAGTATTTTCACTGCCCTAAAATCATCTGTGCTTCACCTCTTCATCTCTACCTCCCCACCCCCAACCTCTGGCAGCTACTGATCTTTTTACTGTCTCCATAGTTCTGCCTTTTCCAGAACATCATATAGTTGGAATCATACAGTATCATACAGCCTTTCACATGTATGTATCTTAATACAAAATTTAAGTATCCAATAATGAGTTAAAATAAATTGCTGTATCAGAGAACAGAAACATTACAAAGCTATTTTTATATTTTTCACACATATTTGTTTAATTAGTCCTACTATTATTAATACCATTGTTACTAATCTTATTGTGTTCAAATAATAGCACTTATGCAACAGAAAAGTAAATAACACAGAATATATAATTACCAATAAACACCTTTTTCTATATTTTAATATGATGTAATTCTAATATATGTGATTTCAAATAAACTATTTTTTCATATTTGTGTGTTAAAGTAACACATATACACATATGTGTATAATTATTTTTTACATAACAAGTGTGTAACTTATTTTTTTAAATTATTTATTTATTTATTTCCCCCAAAGCCCCAGTAGATAGTTGTATGTCATAACTGCACATCCTTCTAGTTGCTGTATGTGGGACGTGGCCTCAGCATCGCCGGAGAAGCGGTGCGTCATGTGTGCTGGGGATCCGAACCCAAGGCCGCCAGCAGCGGAGCACGAGCACTTAACCGCTAAGCCACGGGCTGGCCCTATAACTTATTTTTGACATATTATGTTATGATGGGTTTTGGGGTCTAGCATGGCTGTGTCCCAGGCTGGATCTCTAAAGCCAGTCCCCTGAAAGCAAGTTCTACTTGCTTCTCTGCCCTGGTTTGTTTAACCCCCCGGGAAGGAAGGCCCACTAAGACCCGGTCGCCGCCCTCAAAGGGTCACAGTCTGCTGATGAAGCCAGGCACAAAACAGGCAGGCACAAAGCAATGTCGAAGGTGCCAGGTCGGAAGTTCCCCCAGGTCCCTCTGGGGCAGCCCTAACCCAGCCCCGTGGAGGCCCTCTGGGAATGCTTCCCAGAGGAGGCAAGCCCGGCTGGATTGCGGGGGCGGAGGAGAAAGGGGGCGGGAGGTAGAGGTGGCTGGCGCCCGAGGACGCGCGAGTGAGGAGGCGGGTGGAGCCGGCCCTTGGGCCTCTCCGGGCCCCCAAGGGCCCGCCCCTGGGCGCCCCCCG